ACCAGTTTGCTGGTGAGTATATGTGGTGCTTGTTTTTCCATTCTTGGGATATTTCACTTAGTAATATGGGTTCCAGCTCTATCCAGGAAAATATAAGATGTGCTATATCACCGTTGTTTCTTAGAGCTGAATAGTACTCCATGGTATACATATACCACATTTTATTAAAATTTGTACCAGAATAAACATTTGTATAAGAAGCCTTTCTTCTTTCTTTGGGTAGTTTTTTTTTTCAGGAAATTATTAGATTTATAGAAGTAGGATTACTGGGTCAAAGGAGAATAACTTTTTTCTCAGGAGTTATATGGGATTCATATTGCCATTATGAATAGACGTTTTCCCCCATTACATCTGATTATTGCTTTAATGCAGGAAAGTGGTTGATTTTTACATAGTTATTTTATATCCAGCCATTTACTAAGAGGTTTTGGCTGACATTCTTAGTATGGTAGTGCCAAAGGATGTCTTAGGGGTGGAGGTGGCTTTAGCTTCCTTCCTATAATCTGTTAGCTTCACCCCCAAATCACACCAAATCAACATATGTGCCAAGATCCACATGTTGCCCTGTAATCACAACTTCAGGACAAGTCCCAAGCCCTCCTACCTCCCCCAATCAACTCACCAACCAAAGCCAGATTTGGCCACTGTGGGGCTTTCTTTTATTATCATATTAGCTACTAGTAAATAATTTTCCTCTTCCTTTATAAAAGCTATAACTCTTATTTATTAATAGCTTCAAAGTTTCCAGAACCATATTAAATTGCAATGGTGCTGGTAGACAGTCTTGTCTTCTTTATCATATTAATAGGAAGATGGCTAATGTCTCAGTGTCCAATATGACATAAGCTGCTCATTGAACAATAGAGTCTTTATGATATTGAGAAAGTATTCTTTCCTAGTTTTCCAAAATGGATGTTGAATTTAATCAACTCTTTTTTTTTCCCCCAGTCTCAATTTAGCCCTGATGGTATGGTTTGCTTTTGAAAGTGGTGCACAGCAAGCTAGAAAAAAAAGGCTGTGTGGGAAATGGGAGGTTTGAATCTAGTCACAAGTTTTAGTTTTAGGCCGGGCGAGGTGGCTCACGCCTGTAATCCTAGCACTCTGGGAGGCCGAGGTTGGCGGATTGCCCAAGGTCAGGAGTTCAAAACCAACCTGAGCAAGAGCGAGACCCCATCTCTACTATAAATTAAAAAAAAGAAATTAATTGGCCAACTAATATATATAGAAAAAATTAGCCAGGCATGGTGGTGCATGCCTGTAGTCCCAGCTACTTGGGAGGCTGAGGCAGGAGGATCACTTGAGCCCAGGAGTTTGAGGTTGCTGTGAGCTAGGCACTGACGCCACAGCACTCTAGCCTGGGCAACAGAGTGAGTCTCTGTCTCAAAAAAAAAAAGAAAAAGTTGAGTAGCTTATAATCTATAAAACCATCCCCCTAGACAGCACTTTCCATAATGGAAATGAAAGCAGTATGTTTCATCATTCATTTTATTTAATGTATTCATTGTCTTCAGCAAGAGCCATTGCTTTTTATCATCAGTTAAATGCAGGCAGTAGTTACTGAGTATCTTCACATGGTGTGGCATGATCTTAGTTGAAGCAATTTACAGTCCTCTTTGGGTGTGTGTGGGGAGGTTGAGGCAATTCCCAACTCTAATGCAAGACAGAATATGTTCAAGGCCACCATAAAGGCATAATGTACATGAGACTGGTAAAAAAAAATATATAATGCTATGGGGACCAAATGAAGGAGAAAACACACTCTCTCAGGATCATCTGCAAAACTTGACAGAGAGAGTGATATGTGAAAAGATCTTGAAGGATTAGTAAGATTGTGACTGGAACTATGGGATGGAGTGGACAAGAAGCAGCTTGAGCAAGAGCACAGAAAGGAGATATGTTTCAGGAACAAGATCAGGATCCAGCATGAATGTAGGGTAGGGGAAAGGAATGGCTTCCATTATTGCTGTAAAGCAAGGCACAGCACCTTCAACGTGTTAGCAGAAAAGGGAACTGGAAGGTGAATGGCTAACTGAGGAAGGGAGAAGGGTCCAACTATCCTGGATCCTGCTTCCAGAAGTTTCTTGGCTCATTCTACCTTTACAATGCAGTGGTGCACTCCTTCCCTGTCCATCTTTCACCTCCTTAACCAGACTGTACATGGAGGGGAGCAGGGATCATGCCCCACTCTTCATTAGCCTCCCTCCCTCTGCCTTCTACCCACACTTCCCAACACACAGCACACACCCCAGCATACAGAAGATCACCCTACACCAGCACCTGCATGTCGCCAGCCTTCTGTAAATATTTACTCATTCACTTATTGGCTTTGCAAACACACTAAGCCTTGAACAAGCCCTGGTCTGTTTCCTAAGAATACTAGTTTTGCTCACCAAGCAAATGGCTAAACTTGTAACTAGGAAGTAACTATCCCTGAGCTTTCCCAGAATATATGTATGCATGGAGAATGGGAATCACTGATAGTGCCACAATATTATTAATATATTATATATCTTTATTTCTTTATCTAACTAAAACTGAAAATTAGTATTCAGTAGAATCTATAAATTTTACAATTAAACTTGTAAATGTATATGTATGTCCTTAAAATCCTAACTTTTAGGATATTATAGTTTGGTCCCTTCATTCTATAATCTTCAGAAGTTAATATAAATACTCATATAGTTCTTGGATTGTCTTTGGGGTTTATAATACTCTATAATTGGGTAAACATTTCTGAGAATTCTTGTATAGAAACAGATTTTCTATATAAAATTATTTTAATCACATCTTAAATAGCTTATTCTATCTCCAATAAATTATTTTAATTATAAAAGTATTTTAAGAAGCCAATTGTTACTCTTTATTAACTGCTCAAATAGAAATATCTCCAGTGGTGCAAATTCAAAGAATATTAAAAACAGTAAGTATTTAAATTTGAGTATAGATATTGCAATTCTATAGCAGGAAGTCGGCAACTTATAATTTAATCTTAGCCTTTTATTCATTGTTTTTAAAACTGAATTTTCTACTAGAAGTGAGAGCAACTTTTAAAACACATACTTCTATAGTCAAATTATTGTACTTACTGTTTCAAAACCTCGATGTGGGTGATCAGGAAATCCGCCTGGTCTACCTCCTTTAAATTCATCAAACAGTAAAAACGGATCCAGATTTTTTAACTGAAATAAAAATAAAATTCAGCAGATTAGATGTGCCTTTTAAGCCATGCTAACTGGGGCTACATTCTTGAATAAATCTAGCAAACCTCATCAAAAACTACATAGCTTCATGAGCAACTTTTGCAATGGAAACTGCTTTCAAGAACTCCTTATACACTTACACATACACATGGATTCCCTAATTATGTCCGAGAGTTGAGAAGCACAGTTGACAGATATAATAATCACCTAAGATATAAATAGTCATGTACAAACAAGATACAGTCTGTATTCTAAACAGATTCATAATCTTATGGAAGAACAGACTAGAAAATCAATGTGACAATAAATGCTCTGGAAGAAGACAACTTTATACACATGAGAGTAGGGTGGGATCAGAGAAGGTTCTAGCAGGAAAATGGCACTTAAGCTGAGTCTTGGAGTACATGTAGGAATTAATCAAGTAGAAGAGAAAGGAGAAGGAAGGATATTCCAGGTGGAAGAGCAGAGAAACAGCTTAGCATGCTTAAAGAACTGCAAGGAAACTACTCTATTGGGGCAAAGATGCACATGGAATTGTGATGAGAGATGGGCAGAGGATACAGGCCAAATCCTAAAGGAGTTTGGATTTTATCCTGAAGGTAATGCGTTTTAATTAGGGGTTGATATGATCCAAGTAAGAAAGCTCATTCTGTGGAAGATGGTTTGGGAAAGGAAGAAAGGAGACAGAGTATTTAGGTCATGTCAATTGTCTGAACAGGTCAAGGGCAAAGGCCAGAGCTAAGGCAATGGCAGTGGCAGTGGAGAGAGGTTGTGTGACTGGGTAGATATTTAGGAGGCAAAAGGCAAGAGCATTAGACACTTCCCAAATGTCTAGCCATGGTGTCTAGGAAGATGGTAGGGCCATCAGCTCTAGGAAGATGGTAGGGCCAGCAGCTCAAAGGAACAGAAGAAGCTGCCTTGAAATAGCCACAGTGACTTCATTTTAAGTCACGTTGAGTTTGAAATATTTACATAAATGTTTTCTGTATAAATAAAACAATCATCAGTGTACATTATATTGCACGAAGGCTAGCAGGCAACGGAAGATAAGTCTCAAGCTCAAATGAGAATTGGGAACAAATGTGGCTGTCACCAGTATATCTTTATGATTGTCTTGCTTATTCTTGGCCATTTGTCATTCTGCATAAATTTTATGTAATTTATCAAATTCTATGAATAAAAGTGTTGGTCTTTTGATTGAAATTGCTTTGAACCTATGGATAAATTTGGGAAGAATTGGCATTTATATAATATTGAGTTTTCCTCAATATTTCCTCAATATAAATATGGTTATCTACATTTATTGAGGTCTTTTAAAATGTCTTTCAATAAGGATTTGTAATTTTCTCCATAAAAATTTTACATATATCTAAAATTTTTTTCTAGCTAACTTAAACTATTAATGATACTATATTGCAAGCACCATTTTAAAATTACATTTTGAACAGTTTGATGCTGGAAATTAGAAATATTAATAGAAAGGAGATTCTGAATACTACTAAGCTCTTATTAATTTTAATGATTAATAGATAGCTTCTTCTGGGTTTTGAGACATTCATATCACCAGTGCATTTATCAATAAATGTTTGCCCAATAGTGCATGAAAAATATTTTTGCTTGCATTAGATTAAAGCTGTGGCAGACTACAGTTTTTGTGGGTTTTGCTGAGCTCATCTGGCTTCTACATGCCTTTCTCAGTCTGAAACAGTGGTCATTATTGAGGACATGCTGCTCTCATGGCCAAGAGCAGGAGCAAAAGCAAGCCAGGTCAATCGTGCACAATCACATCAACAGATACCATTGGCCAAAGTATGTGACAGGGCCAAGCCCAAAGTCAATCCCTGGAGTTCATCTAAAAATGGGTGGGGGTGTATAATCCTATTACAGGGTGGGAGGGAGTAATATTCCAACCAACACCCATTAATTTATAAATAATGAGATTCTTTTTTCACTTCCAATCCTTATAATTTCTATTTCTTTTCCTTGTTTTTGCATAAACTAGCAACTGTACAACAGTGTTGAGTGGAAATGATGGTGGTCTTTTCCTTGTCTTTTCCCTGATTTTACATAGATTGCTTTTTAAAGTTTCACTGCTAACCAACCAAGTTGTTTAATGTTTTATAGCTTCTCTTCATAAGGTTAAGGAGTTTCCCTTCTACTTCTAGTTTACGAAGTTATTAGAGGTTTTTTTTTGGTTTTTTTTGTTTTTTTTTGTTTTTGAGACAGAGTCTCGCTTTGTTGTCCAGGCTAGAGTGAGTGCCGTGGCGTCAGCCTAGCTCACAGCAACCTCAAACTCCTAGGCTCGAGCGATCCTTCTGCCTCAGCCTCCCAAGTAGCTGGGACTACAGGCATGCGCCACCATGCCCGGCTGATTTTTTATATATATATCAGTTGGCCAATTAATTTCTTTCTATTTATAGTAGAGACGGGGTCTCGCTCTTGCTCAGGCTGGTTTTGAACTCCTGACCTTGAGCAATCCGCCCGCCTCGGCCTCCCAGAGAGCTAGGATTACAGGCGTGAGCCACCGCGCCCGGCCTAGAGTTTTTTATTGTTGTTGTTGTTGTTCAAATATAAATGGATGTTGACTTCTTCTGAATGTTTTTCTGCACTATTAAGGTACTTCTATGCTTTCTTCTTTCATCTCTTCATGATAGTAAATTATATAAGTAGATTTTCTAACATTAAACCAAATTTGCTCTCTTCAGATAATATATGATATTGCTCATGATATATTATCTCTTTTATACATTGCTTTTTTTTTATGTGAATGTTTATAGCAGCTTTATTTGTAATTGCCCCAAACTGGAAACAACCAAATGTCCCTCGGCTGGGAATGGATACACTATCATACATCCATTAAAAAGGAACAGATTACTGACATATGCAAAATGGATGAGTCTCAAATGCATCATGCTAAATGAGGCCAGACTCAAAATGATTATATACTGCATGAGCCCAGGTATGAGTAACTGCAAAAACAAAATTTTAAGAACAGATCAGTGGTTACCAAGGAAGGAGCTAGGGGGTTAGAAGTTGACAACAATGAGGACAGAGGAACTTTGGGGGATGGAACCATCCTATATTTTAACTGTGGCTAACTGTATACATTTATCAAAACTTACAGAACTAGGAAAAATTTTAATGTAATACCTTTATAAAAAATGGGACTTTTAAGTCCCTTGTTTTAAATATTCAGATATCCTTTGCTTAGAATCATTGAAACAATTTCACATTGTTTTTGTCATATTATCTCCCATAGACCACAAACTGAACTCTCACTTAACCCTTAGAGATCCATGGGCCTATTAAAAGCAGTCCGAAATTATTGACAGTTGCAAATAATCAGATCAGAGCAAGGAATATTTAAATAGCAATCTTTAAATGAAACCTTTTAGAGTTACACTAAGATATAAATGGTAGGTAACAGTTACTACAAAAGCAAGGTCAATATACATTGCTTTTTTGGTTGCTTAATATTTGGTTTATGATTCCCACAATTTTCATAAATGTGATGTAGTTATCCTTTTACTTGCAGGCTTCGTCTGGTCTTGATAGCTGGGCAATGTCAGCTTCGTAAAGTGATTTGAGCAGCATTCCCACAGGTTTCATCCCCTAGAGTTTGTTCACTATGGAAATTATCTGTACCTTAAATATTTTGTAACATTTACCTGTAAAATCATCTAGACCTGTTGTCTGTGTTATAAACTTTTAAAATACAGGCAATCCCCGGGTTATGGATGACCTGGTTTAAACAGCATTGCAGACTTAAGAACAGGCTCCCAAGGCTCCCCACAGGAATAATTTATAATTAAATAATTAAATTAATAATTCAGGAACTAGTTTCTTCCGTGCATGTAAACAAACCCACATGGCACTGAACCACGTGGTTCAATGGCGCAGCATCTTTACACTAGCAGCTAGTCTCGTTGTTTATATGGTCGCTTACATATAACATCACTTTTGTCTTAACTTTTTTATCAGATTTTCTGAGTCTGCGTTTATCCTGATGACCATGCCTTCAAAGAGAAAGTGCACTGCAAATCCAGGTGAGCCTCAGCAAAGAGAAAGGTGATTACAGTGGAAACGAAAGGAGAAATAATTGTGTTCAGAGAAAGGCCAGACACCATCATTCACTGGGAAAGCATTAGGCTTCAATGTCTCGACTACCAGAACAATTATAAAGGATACGTAATGAGTGAGATGGGCACCGTCTTGGGGCTGGACACGCTTGAAGCTCTGACTTGAGGGGGGAGGGGGGGCATGGGCAATGTACATAACCTTAACATTTGTGCCCTATAATATGCTGAAATAAAAAATAAAAAAGAGTAATACATATGTGGCCTCTTTCTCAAAAAAAATAAAAAATAAAAAATAAAAAATAAAAAAAATAAAAAAAGAGTAAAGAAAAAACATGCACTTCAAAATAAACATTCTGAATTGAATTAATCGAATGCAAAAAAAAAGGATAATGTGAGCGTAATGGAACATGTAAAAGCAATGAAAGCATCAGTTATTACTAAGCAGTGTAGTGGATTAATTATTGAAATGGAAAGGTTATTATAGATTTGGTTAGAAAGTCAAAATATGCATAACCTTCCTATTAGCCTAGTGTTGATGCAATACTAGGTGTTAACCTTTAATATTCTTTTTTTGAAATTTCTCCTATCTCCTATCTAAACTTTTTATATGAGTTTATTTTTCTGTTCTGTTTGTTTGAATTAAAAGAAAGAGCACAATCAATAGTTTCTGTAACTTAGTACAGGGGTGTTATTATTATAGTATTACACTGTATTATTATTACCATATATGAGCCATTATAATATTGTTGTTATTATTATTACGATATATGTGCCGTTCATCAGGGATCTGAGTTACATACAAATCCAACCTAAAGACGCTGTCAGGAACATATCTTGTCTGTAACCCAGAGACCGCCTGTACTGATTCAATTATCCTAATGAAACTGTTTGGATTTTCCATTTCTTATTGTTTCTTATTATTTTTGGACTCTGTTTCACTAACCTCTTGAAGTCATTTATTTCAGGATATATACTCTGTCATATTATTAGAAATGAAAGTACAAAACTCTTTGTCTTGGTTTCTGCTTTTGTCTCTCCTGTTTCCACTTTCTATGGAAAAAACCATATACACACGTGCACACACACATATAACACATACAAATATATGTATACAAACTAAACATAACACTGCAAGTTTTTTAACCTAACCAAGTCTCGCTTTCTTCATTTTAAAACATGGACTGTAACCCATATACAGCTAGGCCACTTTGTAGCCCATCTCAGCCCAGTGTTTCATCCAGTCCAACATTAAAAAGTAATCAAAAATAAATTCAAATTCTTTATTGAATGCTTGAAAAAATACCAAAAAAGGCTTTGATTTAAAGATCTATTTAGAATCCCCCTTAGCCCTCTCCATATATGCCTCCCATAATTCCATCTTCTCTCGCTCTAACTCTTCAAATCACCTCAAAGCATCTAGAGACAGTGCTTTCTTTTTCTCCTCTTCCCCTCTCCCCTTTTGGATTTACTCTTTTCTCTTCTACCGGTAACTCTCTGCCCTTTCTAGTGAAAATCAACCAAGCAGATCTTGTTTGCATTCAATTTTGTCCCATCATTCATTACTCCATGTCAGCTCATTAAAAACCCAGGAACCAAACTGGGATTGGTAGGAAGAGAAGCTGAGAATTCTCATGCCTTATTATACATTTTTTCTTCTCGCAGGATAATATATATCTATAGATATAGATATAGATATACCTTTGAAGATTGTAAGGATTGGAAACAATGAACCAAGAGCACCTGATCTAGTGCCCACATTTGCAGTCATAGTAAACAAATCACTTGTAACCACTAATACTGGGCACGGTTGTACATTCTATGCTAAAATGGCTTTGGGGTCCAAAGCTTATATTTCTTCAGAGACATAAGCCTTGGTGCAGAGAGTCTGAAAAGTAACCTCCTTGACATTAGACAGACGGTTTCATTCTCTGCTGATGGGAGGGTTAGGGGCCTACTTTCTGGCAAGTTGGTAACATGCAGAGTGTGAAAAAATACGGCAACAACCTAAATGGTTAAAAACTGGGTTGTGAGTAAGAGAATATTTATATGCACATATAATGGAATATGGCATAGCTAGCTAAATGATGTTTAGTATCATGGGAAGCCCTTATGCTACCATGTTAAATGAAAAAATTAGGACAGAAAATTGCTTATATAATCCTCATGATATAAAATATACAATTATATGGAAACAAACACCTTTTGCCTTAAGAGTAATTCAACCAGGTTGATGGGATTAGGAATGATTCCTATCCATTTATTTTTCCTTAGGGTAGAGTCATACGTGGGACACAGGAGAACTGAATATGAGGGTCTTTAAAGCACAGATTTCCAGCCAAGGACTCTTATCTGGGTCTATGTATAGAATTTAGGGGGACTGTGAACTTAGACTGGAAAAAATTACATCTTTATTCTCACTAACCTCTACTCAATTTTTTTCTGGATTTTTTTTATTGTGGTAAAATATACATAACATAAAATGCAGAATTTTAACCATTTTAAGTGTTCAATTCAGCAGCATTAAATACACATTGTTGTACAACCATCACCACCATCTCCAGACTGAAATTGAACATTTTCTTCAATTATGAATGTAGTCAATGAACCACAGTAAATTCCTACCATGTTTCCCCAAAAATAAGACAGGGTCTTATATTTATTTTTCCTCAAGAAGACACCCTAGGGCTTATTTTCAGGGGATGTGTTATTTTTTTAAAGTACAGTACAACAATCTACATTGATTCGAATATAGTTAAGTCATCTTCTTCTGGAACATCATCATAACTCTCCAAACCCCGAATTCCATCCTGAATTTCTTGTGACTCTATTTCCTTTAGAACCATCAGCCCCAATCTCTCATGTTGAGCACTAGAGCTTTCATGGGGCAGATGAGAAGGGCTGCTCCTCTTCTTTATGGCTCCGCGACGACATGCATGGGTTGTGCAGATGCGCTGCGTAGCCACGTCCATTACTAGGTCTTATTTTCGGGGTAGGGCTTCTATTGCGCAAATGCTTAGAAATCCTGCTAGGGCTTATTTTATGGGTAGGTCTTATTTTGGGGAAACATGGTAGAACCTGTGACTTTGTCACCAACAGAAATCAAAGCCATTTTCACATGATATTACAGTTGTGAGTAGGCACATTGCAACGTCATTCACGCTCCTCACAGCTTTGAAATTAGGGAGTTATTAGAACTGCCACCAAATCTTGTTATTTAATGTAAAATTACTAGATTATGAAATTGGTTTTTTAACTTTGTTAACCATATTTCAGTATAAAAGTTTCCCTTGGTAATCCTATCTATTTTATTTGATGTATTTTAAAATGTTGTTGTGAAAAGTAATTGGTAGGTTTCACTAGACTACCAAAAGGGTTCACAGGACAAAAACAATTAAGAAATTCTCAGATGTGTTCCTGACAGATGGACTAATTAAAGTATTAGCTATCCTCAGCATTTAACAGTGGTTTACTGACAGGTGTCTCCAGGGTCCCAGAATTCTTTCCAATTGTTCTGCTGGTGATGTAACCTAGTAGAATATGACACCACCTCCATCTGCATCTCCCCAGCATCCCCTGTGCATTTAGCCCTTAGAATAAGCCTGTTTGTGTGTACCCTTCAGAAAACAATGTTTGATGAACCTCAAAAAACATTTGGATAAGCAGGAAGCCAGTGTTGGAAAGAGAAACCACAAAGGCACACAAGGGGAAATTTGATGGGGCTGATGGAGAGTTGGGTTGACACTTCTCCCTCTGCCTCAGTGGCCAATCAACTTTATGCTAGATGAAATAAGCCAGGCACAGGAGACAAATATTGCATGATCACACTTATATGTGGAATCTAAAAAAACTGAACTCATAAAAGCATAGAATAGAATTGTGGTTACCAAGGAATGAGAGGCAGGGTGGAGAGATGTTGGTCAAAGGATACAAAGTTTTAGTTACACAGGAGGAATAAATTCAAGAGATCTATTGCACAACATGGTGACAATAATATATAACAAAGTATTGTATACTTGAAATTTACTAAGAGAATTTTTCTTCTTCTTTTTTTTTTTTTTTTGAGACAAAGTCTCACTCTGTTGCCTTGGGTAGAGTGCAGTGGCATCATCATAGCTCACTGCAACTTCAAACTCCTGAGCTCAAGTGATCCTCCTATCTTAGCCTTCAGAGTAGCTGGGACTATAGGCACACACCACCATGCCTGCTAATTTTTTCTATTTTTAGTAGAGACAGTGTCTTGCTCTTACTCAGGCTGGTCTCGAACTCCTAAGCTCAAGCAATCCTCCTGCCTTGGCCTCCCAGAGTGCTGGGATTACAGGCATGAGCCACCGTGCCCATCCTACTAAGAGAGATTTTAAGTGTCTTCTCCACAAAAAAAAATAAGTATGTGAGGTAATGTATATGTTCAATAGCTTGATTTAGCCATCTCACAACATACAGATATCAAAACATCATCTTGTATACCATAAATATATGTATTTTTATTTGTCAACTTAAAACAAATAATATATTTTTAAAAACATTGAATCCATCAACAATGTAAGTCAGCACTCACTAAGGAAAGCCATGAATTTTTTAAAATCCTACAAGCACCTTTCAAAGATGAAAAAGTAGAGAAAGTAACCATTATGTAAAGGGTGATATAAAGCTTAGGTCTAGCAACAAAGTAGTATGAAAATAACAAAGTAGAGTTTAAAAGGAGGGACAACCCAGCCTCACTTTTCAAAATGGAATCCATTTCCCTAAGGTATTTCTTGTTTTATTCAAAACTTTTTTTGAAATCTGGTATGGCGCTGGGGGCTATATTCTTTGGGCTATGACTGCCATCTGATATCTTTTTGTGTATATAAGATTTTTTTTCCTGCAAATCCCAATTTTCCCATGTTATTCAAATGAAAACATTCTCTAATGTTGAAAGACATCTATCTAACCTATAATCACCTTCCCTGAAAGCTAGTCCCCATCTACACCTGCCCCTCACCGGGGAGTTTACAGAGTTGGGTGCCAGCAGTCTCTCCCAGAATCCAAATCCCTGGCAATGTCTGATTGGCCAGAAGTAGAGATCTGACCCACGCCAAGCCAATCAGATTCTCTCTCCTGGGCATCTGGAATTGGGAACCAGAGCTACTCCCTGGTGCTTTGAAGTGTGGGCATATAAACCTGGGGACTGTCACATGGGCATGTTTGGTGATGCTGGGGCAGATAGCAGATCAGCCCAGGGCAGGGCGCGGATGAGCAGAGAGAAGCAGGGACACGTCATGAAGCTCAGCAGCACCTTCTGCCCAAGATCTCTATATCCACACTACAGGAATCCCCTTTGGGCCAGGGCTGGTCTGCATAGGGCCCCCATTGCAAAATATATTTATTTCTTTTCTTTTTTTTTTCTGGTTTAGAGAAGTCTTGCTGGACCCATTGCAAAATTTAGAGTTTGCACCTACACACCCCACAGGACAGCTCATGACTGTCTTGGCCCCCTATTCTCAAGTCACTATCAATGTCCCAGCAGTCCCTTCTGAAAAGAAAGCAAGAAGCAGCCACCCAACCAGCATACCTCGGGTCTGCCAATGCTTCTGCGGACCCTTGCGCCAACCCCTTCTGACTGCTCCCGGCTGAGCACGGACAGAGTAACCTTCTTGGAGGACCCCATGTCGAAGTCTAAAAACAGAGTGTTCTGATGCTGAGCTGTAGAAGATGGAGGACAAAAGGAGGGATAATAAAAAAGAAGTCAAAAGAGAAGGAATATCCAAAGACCACAAAAATAAAAGATATTAAAATTAGACTCCCAAAATAGTAGCAGCTCCAATTATTGACTGCTTAGTATGTACAGGGCCTATGTTAGACGCTTTAACACAATACTAATGATGGTGAACGTGTATGAGTCCTTATTAGGTGCCCAGTACTCCACCAATTATTTACAATTGTTATCTAATGTAATGCTAGAGTCACCTTGTACAAAAGTTAGCAAGACAGTCATGTACTGCCTAATGACCTGTTTTGGTCAGTGATGAATCAGATATATGATGGTGGTCCTATAGATTATAATATCATATATTTACCATATTTTTGTCTAGGTTTAGATATGTTTAGAGACACAAATACTTACCATCATATTATGATTGCTTCCAGTACTCAGTACAGTCACCTGCTGTATAAGTGTGTAGCCTAGGAGCAATAGGCTATACCATACAGCTTAGGTGTGTGATAGACTCTACCATCTAGGTTTGTGTGATACGCGCTATAGTAATGAAATCGCCTAAGGATGCATTCCTCGGAATATATCTCCTTCATTAATCTAGGCATGGCTGTAACAGATCTATTAAGCACTTAACTAAAAACTTCTAATGAGCAATTTATCTGCTTTATCTCATTGAACTCTGTCAACCTTCTCACACTCCCCAGTGCCATCCCATGAGGTAGGGGCTACCCGTGAGGCTCACAGATGGGGATTTGCATGGGAACCATGGGGAACACGGAGAAAAACCAAGAGGTCCATGACTCTCACTGGAACCTGCTGAAGATCTTGACATTGAAAGGGATCTTTGAGAGTCATTAAATTCAAAGACCCATCTCTCCCTGGTTTAGGGCCAACTTCTCAGGCAAGAAATCGTTGCACTTTCTCATGAAGGCTTTTTTTTTTTTTCCAAGATAGACCATATTCTGGGCCATAAAATCTCGTGAAGTCTTGCAGAGCACTGGCAAGTCATGGACGAGCTGCCGTTGACAAGGCACCTCATATTTCAGGACTGACCTATAGCCTGAGTTATTATTCAAAAGTGTTTCCTCTTGGGCAGGTCTGAGTTCTAACCAATGCACTATCACAGAACAAATATAACCAATCCCTTTTCCATTTCAAGTATTTGTAGACAGTAGCCCCAATCCCCTAAATCTCTTCTTCAAGTGAAATACAATCAATTCCTTCAAAGATTCCTACTGAAACCAAGACAGGTGCTTTAGCAAAAAGCAGAGCCGGGCAGCCTGGGTTTGCATTGTAGCTTCACCACATACCAGCTGTGTGACCTGAGGCTGTCTGTGCCTCAGTTTTCCTATCTGTAAAATGGGAGTAATAAGATGTCTACCTCAAGGGGGTGCAGTTAGTGCTATGGGAATGTTAGCTGCTATTATTCAGAGGGGCTCTATTCATCAATACCCTCTACTTAGTCAAGGCCTATCCTAAAATGTATCCTCCTCAAACAGTAGTCAATAAATATTTGATGGAATGTGGGGCACAGGAACGACCTTAATGTTCAAAGCAATACAGGCCTGTCATCGCCTATATAAAAGCAACTAGGAAATATTTTTATCTCTATCTAGACTAGTTCTGGGGCCTTCCAGACTCCTACAATTAAATTCTATTCATGTGAACAACCAATGAGGTACTTAACAGATCCCAGTGTTTTGCAAGAAGAAAAGCCTTCTACCGCTTGCACCAAATTTCAAAGTACTATTTAAGCATCTCTTGTCACCTCCCCTAGGAGTCTAAAGCGGGCTGGGGAAGGCAGGATTTTGCAAACTGATTGCCAGCACACCCCCACCTCGCTCAGCCCCGCGCGTCCCCGGTACTCACGCGTTGGTGGCGGCGCCCGGAGCCTCTGTGGCGGCTGACGGGGCACGCGGGAGACGGCCGGAGCGAGCGAGCGCAAGGCGGGCAGGTCTGCAGGGCGCCGGGCCAGTCGCCTCACCGTGACTCAGCGCTTCGCGACCGGCGGCCTCCGGGAGGCGGGAGCCTCCGGGTCTCGGGGGCCCCGGGCGGGGCGACGCCCCTGTTTACAGCCGGCCGCGCAGCTCCCCGCGCCCCGCCCCTCCCCGCTGCTCGGCCTCTGCGCACCTCCCGCCGGGAAGAGACGCGCACTCGGCAATTTGGGGGCGCGCAGGGTTCCAAGAGTGGGGTGCGGCCCGGGGAAGGTGCTCTGATCCGGGCAAAGGCCCCAAGTCGGGCTCGTGGGAAACCTGTCTTTAACTGGGGTCTACTTGTCACCCAAACCGCGGAGCTTGGCGACATGAGTTCGAATGCTGCCTCCGCCACTTGGAGGCACCACTTGGTGTGACCTGGGGCAGGTGGCTCAGCCTCTCTGTGCATACTCCTCTGTAACATAAAGATGGTGGTGATAATAGTACCAACCTCATAGGGTCACAGTGAGAATTAAATGAACCTGTTGCATTGCAAGCACTACACACGTGTTTGTTATATAAATAAGTTGCCTGCTGTTTGCCAGTTAGAATTGGGGAGTAGGGGGAGAATGGGGAGAGGCCAAGACATCTTTGCTCCTGCCTAAAGCAAAGGCACACCCTGGTGGGGAAAGAATTGGTTAAGTGCTTGGATGTTGCTGAAATACAGTGGGCAGGGCATGGATAGTATTCGCAGAATGAGGGCCTCACCTTGCACAAGCCAGCAAGGTGGAGGGGGGAGGTCTAATTCATTGCCAGGGTTATTAACATGGCATGGCTGTGGTTTCTGTTCTCTAAACACCAGAAGGCCTCTGGCCTGGCTTTGAGAAAGGACAAAGTCTAAACCTTCCAAAACAAGGTCAGCAAACTGTGAAGGACCAGGCAGTGAATACTTTTGACTTCGCAGGCCACATATGTTCCCTGTGGAAACTGTGCCAGTTTGCCTCTGTAGCAAGCAAGCAGCTGTAGGCAACATACAAATAAGTGGGTGTGGTTCTACCTCAATAAACCCGAATTATGAATACTGAGATTTGAATTCATGAAATTCATCTAATTTTGAATTCACATCATTTTCACTTGTCACAAAATATTACTCCTTCATTTTTTAAATTTCAACCCCTTAAAAATGTAAGAACCATTCTTAGCTCTCAGGCTGTACAAAAATAAGTAGTGGGTTGTCCACCCATCTGGGCTGTAGGGGTAGCTTGCAGAGACCCCTGATCTAAAAGAACAGGTTAGTAGAGCAGCAAAGACTTTCCCTTGTGCTTTTTATCTATAAGTGGGGCTCAAACCCCACCCACCTTACTTCAGTGATTCAAGGCTAAAGGATGTAATACACATGAACAATAAAAGTGCCATGGAATAATATTGTTGCCTACCGTCATTATAATTACATCTGCAACTGTCTCCAGGTAAAATAGAAGCAAGGGCTCTCTGTCCAGCGCTTTGCAGTACTTAGTAAATGCTTCTGCATTCCTTATCAAAAAGGTTCAACGTTCAGCCAATTGCTTGAGCCCAAAATGCAAGCTCTCCCCTCTCACTCTTGTACCTTGAAAGCCTGTGGATTTTGACTCCTAATATCTCTTAAGTCCATCCCATCCCTCCCATTTTGACTACCGCTGTCCATCTTCTCTGATAGCCACTCCACTCTTCCTGCCTTCAGGCTCACCACTGGCCAATCCATTCTGCAAATAGAGTAACAGTTGCTTAAAATCCTCATGGCTTCTCATTACTCTCAGGAGAAAGTTCTGAGATATTCTTGACCTGGCCTCACCCTCAACAGGCTTGCTCAAGGTCAATCATATGCACAATGAACATACACACACAAACAGGCACACTCCCCATCCCTTCCCACGATGATGAACTTCTTTTAGGCTCTGGAATGTACATGCTCCGTCTTGTTGGCTTGCTGTGCCCCTGTCTGGAACTTTCTTTCCCTCTCTATTGATCTAATTTATCCCCATTCATCTCTCAGCTCTCAGTTTACAGGTCCCTTCCTCTGGGAAACCTTCAATGCCTGTCCTTTCATGTCTGGCTGAGATGTTTGACATGGCAATCGTCACACCTCCAACATTGCTCGCCAGAGCCACTGTTTATCATCCTTCGCAAGAATCTATTTTCCTCAGATGGCTTGAACAGTATCTCCCATTGCACCCGCTTTGTTATCTGCAATGTACCCTTGACACCCCTCCATCAAAAGTGAAGTTTGCTTCTCTTCCTCTTGAGTCTAGGCAGAGCTTGTGGCTGCTTTGACCAGTGCAATACAATGGAAATGACATCGTGCCAGTTCTGGGCGTGGCTCTGAAATGGCCTGGCAGCTTCTGCTTCCTGCCTTGTAAAAGCCAACTGCCCTGTAAGAAGAGTGATAATCCTAAGACCACGGTGATTACTCCGGGAGAGCCACACCACATGAAGGAGAGGGCCTGGAAGAGGACATGCCACATGAGACAGAGAGAGGCCAAGGACACTGAGGCACCAGACACAACGAAGCCATCTTGGAAGTAGACTCTTCAGCCTCACCTATCTGCCCCAGCTGATGCCACATGGCTAAGACCTGAACATCCAAACTTGTCTTTCCCAACTTCCTGCTCCACAGAACTGCGAGCAAATAAAAATGGTTGCTTTAAACCACTCAGTTTCCAGATAGTTTGTTTCATGATAATAGATATGGGAAAAAAAAAAGCCTGTATGCAAGAGGAGAGAAGAGGTAGATTTTCAAAGTTTTCCACGCTGATGACAAACTCTTACAAATATTTATCCTTTAAGAAAGTGGATACGTCCATTTAAATTATTACCAAGGCAACTGGCCGTCAAGCAAGATAAACAGTAGACTTTAGAGATTAAATGTTGCATCCCCTGAAGGCTCCTCTGTTACAAGTAGCATTTACAGGGACAGCTTCATAGTAAAATAAAATAAAATAAAATAAAAGGAGCAAATGGCTTAGCTGTGCATTCATACTCTTCTCTATACTGGGTTCTCAATATTCTTTGGGACGTTTCAATTTAAGACCTTTTCAGAGCTTGCTCTGGGACTCAGAATCCCCTCCACCTCTGCAGCCCTGACAGGAGTGAGGGCTAAGTCCAGGGGCGGGCATGGTCAGAGCAAAGCAGGGAATTCCATTTGCAGGGCCCTGCAGGAAAAAAAAAAAAAAAAAAAAAAGCAAATCTAGAAAGCTAGCTGACTTAAATGAAGGAAAACAAAGGTGGCAGAGGGGAGCATTTTTACAAATGAACTAGGGAGCAGATAATGTTTCGCTATAACAGGGTTCACTTTTGAGATGAGAAATGTAACCTGGTACCTCGAGCTCAGAGCGCTTTTCACATTGTCATTTGGAGATGTGGGGCAGGCAGCTTGGATATGTGAATGCATAGATAGACCAGCAGTTGCCTTGGGGACCCTGGGAAACAGAAAACCCGTGCAGATATGACAAAGAAAACGAAGCCTTCCTGAATGATGCCGAGTAACACCATTACAATCTTCAAAGACAGCCACATTATCGACATTATTTTATTTGACTTTTTTCATTTTTATTCAACAATTTTATTTTTTTCTTCTGTATAACACGTCGAATTTCTTCTCAAAGATACATGCTATGGAAGTATATATCCATCTTAAACACTTCATTATTAGCATTTTTTTCCTTCTTCAAGCCATCAACTCAAAAATGCTTTCTTGCGGATTTTAATAATTTGCCTCCCACGGCAGTGTAGCTGCTATTCATGAAATGACATTTATCTCTGGAACATTCCTTATTAGGGATTCAGACGCACTGAACTCAGGAAATCAGTTGGCTCCAAGTCAAAGACTCATTATTTTGTAAACGCTAGTTTATGAAAGCCATTAATGTAGTGGATGGTTGAAGACATCCCAGTATATCCAGAAAAGATGGGTACATGTGACTCCCATACCCACCCTCCTGAGAGCATTCTGCACAGATGTGGTCTGTTCCCCCAACCAGGGCTGTGACCCAGAAGCTACATGCGATCAGCTGTTGCATAAACTCATAGCTGTGCTTTTTTCTGTCTTTCTCATGGGTTTTTGGCAGCGTCCCAGAAAAGAACAGCTTCTGACCCTCTCTTTTGAGCCACAGAACTTTCTTAGAATCTATCACTAGCAAAACACTCTCGGCCCTGAAAGGCCGATTCATCTCTGAACCAGGGAAGGGGAGAAATTTAGGTGAATGAGTCCCCTGGCACTTACCTCAATTACCCTGATAACCTTTCTCAGTTTTCAGCTTTTGTAAAGTTGTGTCTTCTGGCCAAATAAAGGCTGCTTTCGAGATCACAGCATTGGAGTGTATTGGAGTTAAAGTAAAAACGAATTTGAATCAGCTTCTAGTTAATGTTATGTACATTGAGGTGTTTATGGATGAAGTATACTGATGGCCACAACTTACTTTGAATACACCAAAAAAAAAAAAAAAAAAAGGCCAGGCGCGGTGGCTCATGCCTGTAATCCTAGCTCTCTGGGAGGCCGAGGCCGATGGATTGTTTGAGCTCAGGAGTTCAAAACCAACCTGAGCAAGAGCGAGACCCTGTCTCTACTATAAACAGCAAGAAATTAATTGCCCAACTGATATATATATATAGAAAAAATTAGCCGGGCATGGTGGCACATGCCTGTAGTCCCAGCTACTCGGGAGGCTGAAGCAGGAGGATTGCTTGAGCCCAGGAGTTTGAGGTTGCTGTGAGCTAGGCTGACACCACAGCACTCACTCTAGCCTGGGCAACAAAGTGAGACTCTGTCTCAAAAAAAAAATACACCTAACAATGACAATGATATTAATGACAATAAGGTGGATTGATAAATGAATAGAAAGATAGATAAATGGATAGACACATGAGAAAGTAAATGCAGTAAAATGTTCACTGTAGAATGCAGATGGTGGTGCATGGGTGTTTAGACTTCTTTTAACTTTTCTGTCTTTTGAAATTTTTATGATACAATTTTAGGAAAAAAATAATTTGAATCAAAATGGGAATCGGGGCTAGAAGGGTTCCATAAAGATACTCCCCTTTGTCTGCTTTCTTTGCTTCCGACTTGAGCACCTCGTACACAGTACAATTCAATGAATGTCTGTTGAAACGAGCTGTTGAACTAAATTGCAAGCTACTAGGTCAC